ACCACTGTAGTGGTCTTTAGGTCTCGGTCAGGCCGGGACCCACGGAAAGGCATTAAAAAGGGTCTTAAAGTCATGCAAGACAAATTGCTTGATCCCCTCGGCATCTGCAAAAATGCTTTACTTTGCTGACCTGGCTCTCACCCAGGCTACACAGCTTGACCCTAATGCTCTCTCAGAATGGGCCCAACGTTCAATCTGCCTGCTAGGCAATGCCAATGCCGCACTGGTGATGGCTCACATTCGATCCGAAGGCATGTGGTTTCTCGTGTACCTGGACGATTTGCTAATCTTCTGCAAATCCGCGTCCAGGCTATGATTGCAAACAAAATTTGTTGTTCACTTTCTGGAATCCTTGGGTTTCGTAGCGAACAGAAAGATGTCGTCACTCTCTCCCTCACAGATGGCCCAGTTCCTCGGTTTCGAGATTGACATGGTGAGTTTGAGTCAGGAATCGGGATAGCATGATTTCCGGAGATTAGATCAATTATTTGTGGAGCTTGTGCCTAATGCTACCACTCGACATGGCGGTAAAGCTCCCCCATTGGCATCACTATTAAGCAAAGAAATTGGTTTGGGCAAAGTTGGTAGTGAAATTGTAAAGTATAGTGATTAAAAAGGGATTGCAGGTGAGGTGTTTGAGAATGTTTGATAGTATTTGTTGGGCAAGCCATCTGGCCCAAGTGTTTTGTGGTATGGTAAATGGAAAATTGTCATGGTTATCCCCTCTAGTGTGAATATTTAGAAGAAAATCCAAGTCCCCTGGCTTCAATTGGGGAGGTTTAATTCAGATAGAAAGTGTTCAGTGTCATCTGGTGTAGGGAGGTTAGTCTGTGGATCATCTTTCAAGTTATACCATTTACTATAGTAGCTGGGAAGCTAATTTACAATAGATTGCGGGTCTAGGATTTTTTTACCTTTAATATTTTCTAGAAAGGCAATCCTGGAGACGACAGGTCTTTGTTTGAGTTAGGAGGCTAGTTTGGCACCTGATCTATTCCCAGTGGCAATGAAGCTGTGCATTGCACTCCACATCTAAGTTGTGATTATAATTGGTTGAGTTTGGTATAGGTAGTAAGATTCAAGTTTATTGATGTGTGAGAGTGTGTGTATTTCAGTAATTTTACCACATGACAGGAGGCTTCATATTTGCATATCTTTCTTTACTGAAAACTCCAGCAGCATAGAAACATAACAACCAATCAGAAAAAAGTTATGATGCCCATAAAAGGCCCTGTCTATGACATCACTTCCTCTTTCTTTGCTGCTCCAGCCAACATCAGGTCAGAGTATTTTGCCTCTCTGGCAATTGCTTACATACATTGTTTTTCTCACCCACTTTGGTTTGTTTTGTTTCTCTGTATTTTGTATTGTATTGTTTTAATTTATCTAATTTAATTTATTTAATTTAATTTATTTATTTATTTATTTTCGTTGGTTTATTTTCGGGTCCCCTTATCCCTGTCCCTGCAGTGTTGCAGGCCCCCCCCTATTACTCTCCACTGCCGATACCCGCGAGCACGGCTGTCAGTGCCGCGCGCCACGGGCCGGCTTACTGTTTTCTCTTGGTGGGGGCCGGCAGGGGGACGGGTGAAGGGGGACTGGGAACTGCGTTTTCCCTCGTCGTTCTGGCGCTGCGCGGTCGATCGCGGCGCACCTTCACACGCGAGTGGCGGCCATCTTGGATCTCGCGGCTCGCGAGATACCGGACGGCCGCCTTCCCCGCTTGCCCGGCGGATCGGTAACTCGCCCGACCGCCGGGCTCCACATCTGTATACCCTCCCTAGTGTGTACTAAGGGAGGGTATTAGTGTTACAGTTTTAGTTTGCCTTCCAGAGGATATATATATTTTGCCCAGTGCCTGCCTGCTGTGCTGCCCATCTACAATAAATGCATGCATTTTAAAGAGACAAGCACCCCTTCTTTGCCAGCTTCAGACCTTTATGTCTCTATGCCCTGCTTAGGGTCATACCAGCTACTATACCCCAATTAGGGTTATACTATACATTGTTATAATCTCCTCAGGATCAGACTGCATACTGGCATCAATTATATACAATTATTATTTTTATTCTCATGGATATATTTCTCATGGTGCCTTACACTGGATGATGTTGAGCAGGCACACAATCTATGTATTATTGTGAAGCCATACAATATCACAGTCGTTATACAAAACATATACTGTACCTATAACAAGATCAACTATATCACTGTACCCTACAAAGGGCATATTGTGTTACTGTACCCTATAAAGGGCATATTATATTATATTATGGTACCCTACAGAGGGTCATATTATATTACTGTACCTGACGGTGCAAATTTATGTGGGTGTCCTCTGGGTATTTTTTCATGGCACACCACCTGGGGTGACCCCCCAGGTATGCATGCAAGGTCACTGACAGACCATTACCTTTGATGTGGGTGTCCTCTGGGTTACCATGGCACACCACCCGGGGTGAACCCTGTTAATATGCATGGAGGCCTACGCCTCAACTTTACCACTGATTACTACAGACATATATGGATGTTTAACCTCCCTGAACTATGGATGTTTAACTTTTGGAATAAAAGGGAATCATGACATGTCACACATCTCATGTGTCCTTAAGGGGTTAAACACTGCCTGTCAGTTTTACATTAAGCAACAGTACCATGCCGGATGCGATTTGACGGCAGGATCACTAAGAAAATTGAGTGTATTGTGGTGTACCCTTCACAGGGATACATATACGTATATTTACTGTGCCTAGTGTACATATGGAACGTGGGTGTACTCTGGGTAATTTTTCATGGCACACCACCTGGGATGACCCCAGATATGCATGCAATGCTTGTAAGGTGCCAATAATTATAATATGGGTGTCCTCTGGGTTACCATGGCACACCACCTGGGATGAACCCAGCCTAATAGACATGGGTCCTGCGGCTGCAGACCTTATGGAGACAGGCCCCATGCGCCTATATAGTAAGCCTGTATAGTTAAAAACCGTGCATACAGCTCTGGCGTACATTTGTGGTGAACCCGGCTAGCCAGACCGACACCACTACCAGTCAGTCGCGCCTGCACCACGGCTCTCAGTAGCCAGATTAAACTAATAGAGGTGACCCCTCTACACTTGGCACGAGTATTCATACTCTCAGACATACTAAAGCAGGCAATTCAAACCGTTTTACCTGAGTGATCCCCAGTTCTACCAGGAGTCTAACACCCCTACGTGCTGACCCTCACACTATCTCCTAACAGGACGGGAACGAGTCATGGTGGACACTCTCAACGTTCCCAAGATTTCTAGGCAATGATAAACGCTACAGTAACGGCCTCAGTGGAGAAGGTTCTGTTATGAACTCTACCCCACACCGCTTGATGGAGACCTCAGGCCCACAAGCCTTCAAGTCAAAACGGCAAGGGAAGGGCTCCAGCCCCCCTGCCACTAAGGTCAAGGGCAAGACGCCCATCGAACAGACCAAATAGGCGGAGCACCGGGAATCCAAACCCCGTCCTCCACAATCTTCCGACAAAGAAGACTATTACCCACCACGTACTTTGGACATGGTAGATGAGCGACACGAAGACAGCTCACCGTCTGAGTAAATGGAACAGCAAGACCTTCCCCACACTTCCTCGAAGTACGTTAGGGAAACCTTACTCTGTGACGGCGGCTGAGGCAGAGATAACTGTAGCGGCACTAAACCAGAGTAGCCGTAGACGGAGCGTTCCTGGACAAACACTATTGGCTGCGCAACCCTCGGGGGATGGAAGGATACGCACGCCTCAAGACCGAGTTAACCCAGGGTACACAACTCAACCCTACCACCTCCAAAGAATGGTCTTAATGCTCAATATGCCTCCTGGGCAACGTAAATGACGCACTATGCGCCGACAGACGCAAATCTGTACTGGGCCGCATCGACAACACACTATTGGACTTAGGAACGACAAGAATTCGGCCCAAAGGCACAAGGCCCACTATTTGACGTAGTGTTCATTGCAGTACTCAAGAAACACGTGAATTTATTCACCACACTAAATTAAACACAGACCTCGCTAAAACAAGTCTTCCACAAACCTACGGGGAAAGGTGTTTTCTGGGAGGACTGGTCGGTAGCTGAACCGAGCCACCAACCGCTTCTGGGCGACAGGTTCCAGATCGTATACACAGTCCTCATATTTCTCCCATCTGCTACACAAAGGAACCCATCCACTTCATCTACTAGTGTGTCAACCTACATAACTAACTGTTTCCAATATTATGACCGGCAACCTGTCTCTGTTTTACAGAATTGGGAGACGACTACCAAAGTCACCTGGGTTCTCCAGACAGTACAAGGCTATGTCATAGAGTTTTATCACACCCGTGCAGGTCTCCCCTTCACCTCCATTATGCACGCTGGCGGAACAGGAACGCCTCGTGGACAAGAAAATCTGCACCCTCTTCAGGAGGGGCGCAATTCAACATGCACTGGAGGGGAAGGTTTCCCCAGCAAATTTTTTCCTGGTCAAGAAGAAGCCAGGAGACTACATCAATGGAACTCCTACATGGTATACAAATGCTGCAAGATGGAGGAAATTCGTCTTCTACAAGACCTCCTAGGCGATAACGACTGGTTTACACATCTGGACCTCAAGGACGCACGCTTGTAAGTACCTGTTGACCTGGACTGCCGAAGTTTTCCTCCGATTCCAATGGTGAGGACAAACACAGCAGTTTACGACTTCGTGGTGCTCGCGAACCTACTGTAACCAGTGAGGGCACACATCCGTAAATTTGGGCGTGCGATGCCTCGTATACCTGGAAGACTTGCTGATTCTTTACGAATCCAGGCTACGTTTGCAGACAAATTTGTCGTTCACTTTCGGGACTCCATGGGTTTTTTGTTGTACACAGACAAAGATCGCTTCTCCATCTGAATCGGGCCAGTTCCTCGGTTTCAACATCGTCTTGGAGAACTACGTTCCACGTCCGTCTACGGCAAAGAGCACCTCTATAAGGATAGCTGTCGGATTGTGGGATTCCTCTCCTCCTCCATACAAGCGTTATTCCCTGGCCCACTACGACTGATGGTGAGATACGTACGCACCGGTCACTCATACGACCACTGGATCCCACTGTCAGCGGAAGTGAGGATGGAATTTCGATGGTGATTACTTCACATACAAACTTGGATTGGCAAAACGATCTTTGACTCTTCCTTCGGATACGGGGTGATGGATGAACCCCTGCAAACGCGACCCAGCCGTTCTCCACAATAGCAAGGGTGCTTCGATGCACACACACACACACCCACAAGATATCGCTCCTGCTCATGACACCCCTCGGGCAGGGCCAACCGTGATTTCCCGGATCGCCTGGAGATGTCTCGCGAAGACCCTCTACTACTCCCTACCTTCCCTCTACTTCTGACGGGACCTCGAGGGGAAGCCCACTCCCTTGTCATGGAAGGACAACTGGCACTAGTTGCCTGGACGGCTTCAGGGGCTCCTGGTCAGTTCACGACCTATTGCATCAACTAAGACCTCCTATGGGAATCATAGGCTCCCGGCACCAGGAAAGGCTATATTTCTGCCTGGTCGGCCTGGAGTGATTGGTGTGTGAAAAGGGATTCCGATCCCTTTACCGCACCTGTCCCACTGATCCTCAACTATCCGTCACACCTGGTCTCGTTGGGTCGGTCATATCGATCCCTCAACGTGATCAGATCCGCCATATCGGCGGCGCACGTTCCAGTACAGGGCAGACCAGTAGGTCAAGATACACTGGTTCGTCGACTACTGCGGGGTGCCGAATTGTCGAGATCCCTGCACCCAAATATTCACGCCTCTGGCAGGTGGATGTGGGGCTGAGATTCCTTAGGGAATGGCCGGACAATCCTTGTTTGTCACTGAAGCAACTTTCAGCCAAGCTAGCCCTCTTATTATGCCTCGCCTCATTTAGACGGTGGCGGACGTTAGGGCTTGCGATATGGATGGTTTCTCTCTCACACCAGACGGGGTTACCTTTACCATGTCGAGACAAACTAAGTCTGATTCGTCTTCAGTGTCATACCCATGCTTTGTGTCAGACGCCACACTATGCGTGGTCAGAACGCTAATGGGGTACACCAATATCTCTACCCCCTTCGAACTCATTCGACGGATCACCTTCTGACTTCTTACGTGAACCCTCATGGACCGGTGTCTACCGCAACACTGGCCAGATGGGTCCGCTGGTTTTTGTCTTTAGCGTCGAACCTTGTTTCGGAGCCCACTCGGTCAGGGGAGCGGCGGCCTCACAAACCTTTTCGGCCGACGCTTCCCTAGCCGACATTATACGCTGCGCGGACTGAGCGCGAGAGAGTACGTTTAGAACGTTCTATTTTCGGCAAACATCTCATGCTTCCTTCACATTGGTCAATTCAAAGCTTTAAAAATGCAAATATGAAGCCTCCTGTCATGTGGTAAAATTGAAGATTATATTAGCTTTAGTGTACTAATAATCTTAATTTTAGTAATGACAGGAGGCGAATATTTCCCACCCTATAGGATCCCTCCCATGTTTCTCGTGTTGAACAGAATATGTCCTTTATGTTCAGGAAGGTAAGTACGTATGGTTTGTATGTTTGCTACTTAGACCTGTATCTTGTGGGTCTTGTATTGGCTGAATATTAGACATGAACCTTGCATTATGTTGTGTTTATAGATTCTTAAATATCATTGCGTTAGAATAAATATATATTAATATGTGTCACATTCTAATGTTCGTTGGTATATCAGATGCTTAATGCTTATTGTATGCGGACAAGTTATCACGCCAGATACCTTTCACCTTTTTCCTTTTCTTGCAGCGTGAACGTCTTCTCATCGAGACAAAGATTCACCTTCCATACCTCTGCATCGCGGAACTAATGGAGTTGGATATTCTAATATGTTGTTGAACTGTTGATGTAATATGATTATGTCTCTTGTTGTTATTTATTGTTTCGCTTCAAAGAAAGAGGAAGTGATGTCATAGACAGGGCCTTTCATGGGCATCATAACTTTTTTCTGATTGGTTGTTATGTTTCTATGCTGCTGGAGTTTTCAGTAAAGAAAGATATGCAAATATTCGCCTCCTGTCATTACTAAAATTAAGATTATTAGTACACTAAAGCTAATATAATCTTCAATTATGGGGGTATAATTAGCATGGTGCATTTTCTTGGTATAACTGCCATGTTTGATAAAACAGCCTTGGGTAAATGCTTTTTAGGGGCTAGCCATATATGATCTAGTAGTGAATCAGGAAATCTATTGTCCATAAAATTGTTTTGTAGATCAAGTGGCATTTGCAAGACAGTAGAGGGATCAGTTAATAGTAATTTGTTTAGTTTCCAGGTAACCAGACCATGGCTGGAGAATTGTTCCTTTAAAGATATTGTGATCGAAGCATGGTCCGACCAAGATATTATACCAATTTGCAAACATTCAATCTTGGTTGGTGAAGCAGAATAATGAGAAACCTGTCAATTCTTAAATAGCTATTATGAGCTGCAGTATGCGTAATCAATTTTGGTAGGTGAGCTATTCGCCAGGGAGCCACAAAATTATTGGACAGTAGTGTTTGGCATATATGTGTTGATAAAGCAAACCTTTGTGAGAGGAGAGCTACACAGAAGTAGATGAGTCTAGGGAACAGTCCAACAAGAAATTTGTGTCACCTCCAATAATTACCTCCCCAAAACTGTATGCAGAAACTAAAACAAACAGGTAGGTTATAAAGGCATGCTGCTAATAACCAATATATAAAAACCAATATACATTGATTGATGTTTATGGTCCTTGGGACAATAAACAATAATCAATGTATATTGGTTATTATTCACATACAATGCATTAACAAGGCAATAGTGCTAAAAAAGGCAGATGATGGCTAAGTACATTTCTATTTGTGTGCGAGTAACAACAGCTGTCCGAATAGTCAGCAGAGCATAGAGGACATCGTAACTTAACTTGTAAGACAGTAGAAGGCAGAGGTAAGGTAATAAAAATATAAGAGATAAATTAAAGAAAAGTAAAGTGTAAGAACTACCATTTGATTCGTGCAGAAATTGCATGAATCAAAAGAACAAAGTAAAATTGGCTTTAACCCACCTAGGGGTAGTTCTATAAAGCAATAAATAAACCAAATTTGTATAGTGATAAGGAAATATTCCTACGTTATTAAAGAAAACATAAAAATGGAATGAAATAGCATCTGTTCGTGGTTTAAAACTGTGCATCACATTAGTTTGTGAATACAGACTTAAACTTAAAATATGGTCACTGAGCTTGACCATAATGAAGATAAATAAGGCTGCCTGTTCAGGCTGTCAGGGATCACCGTTCGGTGGATGCTTTAAAGGGTTTTGTGATCACCGACCAGTCCATGGAAAGGTTCTTGAAGTCATGCTCTGGGTTTTTGGAGGATTGTCTGGGTGCAATGGGATGTTCCATTCCTGGAGTAGTTTTTTACAGTCTTTTGGGGGTAAATATAGGCTTATTGACACCATTCCGTTTGACAAGCAACTTGTTGGGGAATCCCCATTTATATTGAATAGAGCTGTAAATGTGCTCTGTTTAAGCATAGTAGTTGATGAGAGATCAATAAACACTGTAATATTTGGAATTTCTCTGGCAGAGTTGTGTTCAGCCTAGAGGAGTTTGGAGTCCTCCAATGTTGGAATGAGAGCTCCTGAGGCTTGATGGATTCCGGGATGCCACGGATCCTTACATTGTTCCGCCTGTCACGGTGCTCATTAATGCCAATTTTTTTCCTCTAGTCTTCAATTTCTTACTTAGAGGGGAATAGGCATCCACCAATGAATTGTGAGATTCCACTAGCTCTTTCGTTCCTTTGCCCAAGTGTGCCGTTCAGTCACCAATAGATTTTATATCGGCTCTAATGTCCAAGGTAATTTTGAGGAGGTCAGACTGTAGGCCATTTTTCAAATCTTGTAGCATTGTGTGAACAGAGGTGTCTGTTGCAGGACTCGGCAGTAAGTAGAGCCATGCTGGCTGTCACCTACGTCAGAGCTTGAGGCTGGGGAATGAGACCTTTTGGTGCCATCTTCTTCTCCATGGATTGGTTTATGCGACGCAATAAGATGGGAATTTAGAATTTCTTGATTTTTTTTTATGCAGAATTTAGTCACCATCAGAAGCAGGTGCTAATTACGAAGCTATGGTAGAAGAGCATTTAGTTTTGTGGCTGATTTTCGTGCTGAGAATACCACCAAATAGGAGAGCTCACAGCTCACACATCTGTTCCCATGCGCTGCTAGGAAAACCCTCTACTGCAATTTATTTTTACTTACTGGGTTGGTAATAGTTGGTAATTCCACTAAAACACTGTGTTGTAGAGGACTGAAGACAAATGAGCCGGTACAACTATTTCCACATCCCAAATTTAGTGGAATGTGAGTAAATAAAAATAAACATGAGCCATATAGATCCTGCATTTCCATTAACCCCTTAAGGACACATGATGTGTGACATGTCATGATTCCCTTTTATTCCAGAAGTTTGGTCCTTAAGGGGTTAAGTCCCCTATTAGCCATGAGGAAATCAAATGGTCTTTCTTACTCTCTAAGCTTAGCAACATATGGAGCCACCTTACCCACTAAAGATGCAACCATTGTGCTCATACATGGAGTATATTGATGAATGAGTCTCTAATGCCTTGGCCATTGTATTGATAAAATGACTCCCATAATAGGTTCAGTATCACCCATTTTAACATACACTGACATTTGTACCAATCATTTAATCTTTTCTTCATTAATAAAGCAGGGGATTATCACCCTCTCTGGTACTAACAAAGTCCATATGATCTATTCTTAATATAGGGGTTCATGTGGATGACAAATTAACATGGAAGAAGCACAACATTAAGAGAAAACTAGAATTGGAATTGGTAATTATTTTAGTTTGACAATAACTAAAAATATCTACAGATACCACTCAGCTGGCACAATATATAGATAGACTTATTAGACGATAATAGGGCTGGGGAGAGAAATAATGCAGCTGGCTAGGAAGAGTATGATATCAGCCATATGGGGATTATACTAATAAAAAAAAATCAGTGAGTTGTAGAAAAAGAAAGTCAATAAAGACAGAGAGAATAAGAACAAATATATTAATTTTATATATTTTTCTTTCTTTCATCTTCATTCCACCAACCTATATAGCCTATATACTTTGGAAGGTCAAATTCCACACTTATTTACAATAGCAGTACGATGAGCA